AAGTAACTTAAATGTGCATCAACAGGAAAATGGGTTTATTAAAATGAAATACTAGATAGTTAAAATAAATTATCTAGAGTTACCACACTGACACAAGAAAATACATATTGTAAAAAGGAGAAAAAGGAGGTCACAGAATGATAGAATATGATAACATTTAAAACTTAAAATATGCATGCACAGCAATATTATATGTCATTTATAGATACATATTGTTATGGTAGAAATATGTGAAAATGCATGAGAATGACACACATTTATAGAATGACTTTCCAAGAAAGGGAGAAGGAAGCTTCCAATACTTTAAAATAAATATATCTATAGAGTGATGATTTATAGAGTGAGTACCATGTTCTATAAATCTACTTCTAGAATATAAGTAGGCTTACTTTTGTGAAGTTTATACAAGTCTAAGAAAATGGTCTGTAGTCGCTAGAATGGCACATAAAGGTGTCTGCTCTCAGTTTTTGGAATTGCTGCAGATTTATCAACAAGGCAATAATCTACTGAATTTTGCTGTATATAATGTGCACCCACATTTTTGTGTGCATTATACATGGGTTTATTATGCCCGTTATTATACCCAGGTATGGAATCATTATACTCATGTATAATGTGCATCCTTATTTTTCCCTCAAAAATTTGGGCAAAAAAGTACACATTATACACAGCAAAATATGGTATATTCCTTGGGAACCTGGCAAATGGGAACCACATGTTGGTTTTAGCTGAGTTGTCCTTAATTTTATTTGTGGTTTACAAATAGTACACTCATGTTAAGTCAAGTTTGCCTGGCTTAAGTAGAATTAATCAGTCAACAGTTACTCCTTTATTGAGTACTATATCTGCAAGTTTCTGTAGAAAATTCAAAATAAATATAAAATATTTTCCCAATACTCATCTTAAAATGTAATTCTAGAGATAAGGCAGAGGATTACACAAAACTAAATGTGGGCTAACTTGTATGCCATGTGTTATAAGAATTTAAGAAAGCTGGAGTTTAGGATGAGCTCTGATATCAGTTGATAAGGCTCCAGGAGGTGAAGTCTGAGCTAGGCTTTTTAAAGTGAGGAAAATTTGCTCTGGTGCAGAGATGGGATTTAAAAGCAAGACTTTTCTTGGGCTGTGCTCCTGTTCTAAATTTGAGGAAGAGTTATTGACTCATCAACTATTGACACTGGATTTAAAAGCAGCTCAACTCACAATCATCAGTCCTGGGGCAATGTTGGATTAGATAACAGTGCTCGGCTCTTTCCCTGCCCCAATTCTTTACCAGGTTGAAAACTGAAATGAGAGCAAGAATCATGCCATCCCTCTTTCTGTACCCCTCAAAGTTTGATGCAACTTGTGGCAAGGGGCAGGGACACATTCAATCATGAAAAATTAAAAACAAGAGCTTATTGAATACACACTGAGATTTAGTAGACATGAATAGCCAGGATTCAAAGGGCCTGTGAATTAGAAAGTCAGGCTTGAAATCTATTCTCTCTGTCTTTCTCATCTCTTTTTTCCCTTTATTTTCCTTTCTTTGTTGTCTGGCTTCCTCTGTTCACTCATCTAGAACTTGTCTCAAAATGGCAGCTCTGAGCTATCAAAACTTTAGCTGCACATTCCTTTTGTTTTTGCAAATCCATGTCTTAGAATTTACACTGTAAGATATACTCACACAACTTGTGAGTGTAAGATATACTCACACAAGTGTGCAAAAATAAATGTAGAAAGATCTTTGAAAATAAAAACAAACTCAGAAGCAATCTAAAATCCATTAACAGGGATTACTTAAATAAATTACGTTAGCCCTGGCTGGTGTGGCTGAGTGGATTCAGTGCTGGCTTGCAATCCACAGGGTTGCCAGTTCAATTCCCAGTCGGGGCACATGCCTGGGTTGTGGCTGGGTCCCCACTGCAGGGAGCATGAGAGGCAACCACACGTTGATGTTTCCCTCTCTTTTTCCTTCCCTTCCCCTCTCTCCAAAAATAAATTAATAAAATCTTTAAAAAAATTAATTGTTATATTTATTCAATGATATATGTGGTAGACATTACTAGTGTTCACTATATTTCTTGCTACCTTCTTCTGAGTGCATGGAAGGAATGCACTCCCTTGCCCCTTTGAGGTTGAGCAAGCTGATATGATTCCCTTTGATCCTGAAATTTGAGAAGCATTTTCAGAGTCCATGTGAAATGCTCCATGCTCTCTTCTGGTGCAGCAATTGTAGAAACAGACACTGGGAGGGAGAGTCATGAAACAGAAACAGCCAGAGCACTAAGCCTTCAGGGAGGACAGCAGACTTCACAGGCACAATAAATAAACTTGTAGTGTAAACCCACTGAGATTCTGGTGGTGTTTGTTTTCATAGCATAACCTAGATCATCCTAATATACTATATTGTACAGCCAGTAAAATGAATGAAATAGATATATACGTACTTACTGGTAAATGGAAAATGTCCAACATGCAGAAAGTGACAAAGAAAAGGAACATAATTTTATATAGAATTATTTGATTTGTGATTTTATAAAAATGTTGTCTATTGATAAAGAAAGACTGAGGATCTCCTCTGGATTAGAAGAAACTGAAATGGCATGATAGCCAAATGGAATGTATGATCTTGGATTGGATCCTGAACCAAAAAAAAATTTATTTTTCTTTTGCTATAAAAGATATTAATTATAGGATATTTAGTGAAATTTGAATAAAGTCTATCAATTAGGTAATGATATTATATTAATGCTAACTTCTCGGTTTTTATAATTATGCTGTTTATAAGGAAAAATGTCCTTGTTTTTACACACTGACATACTTAGTTGTACAGAGTATCATATTTTTAATCCAATTTCAATTGTTCAGAAAAAGTGTATATGTATATATATGTAAAGAGAGAGAGAAGATAAAGCAACTGTGACACAATGTTTGAGAAGTTTAGGTGAGGGGTGTGTAATGTTTTGGTGCTATTTTTTGTAATTTTTTATGTCTGAAATTATTTCAAAACAAAAAACCAGAAATATTTCTTCATACGTATGCATATATACTTGTATATGCTTAGACATTTTTAAAGCTATATCATATAACTATCTCTGGGTAGGTGGGTAGGTAGAGGAAACTGGAGTTCTGGGGTAGAAGGGAGACTTTTACTCTCTTTTGGGTACCGTTTTATTCCATTTGAATTCTCCAGAGATAATCAATGTGTGTTGTCTTCAGGAACAAAGTTTTGAGTTAATGTGTCTGGCAGAAATAGATCAAATTAACGAAGATGAAAATTAAAAACCTAGCAATAACTTTTACCAAGATGTACACATTGTCTAATAACTTGTATGGCTAGTGGCAAAAGAGGCAAGTGCAGGAGAAAGCATGCTCATACCATACATTTGGAACTATGAATTCAATACAGTCCATTGGGAAAAAAATAAAATAAAAAATATGCATACCTTTGCCCCCATAGTATCACTTCTGGGAGTTCTTAGAAGTAAAGGCACCAGTACACAATAACAAGCATAAGGACTTTTACTGAAGCACTTTCTGTAGGGACAAAAATTTGGAAGCAAAGTGTATGCCTATAAATAGGGAAATAACTGACTAAATTGTGATATATCCACATTATAGGATATTAAGCAACACAGACTATTATATATTTAAAAGAATGAGCCAGCTCTCTATCAGTTGACGAGGAGAGACTTCCATGATGCTTTTTTACAAGAAAGGAAATACAGAGAATTTTATAACCCTCCTTTTATTTTGTAAAATAAGTAGGAGGCAATCCCCACGCATGTGTATATGTTTATCTAATTAAGAGAGCAAGGAGAAGGTGTGCAAGGACAGAGCTGCTCTTTTGCTCAGAGTAGAGAAAGGGTCATTGGGGAGAAGGGAGGATAGAGATGGTAAGTGAGATGGGAATAGAAGCAGAGCAAGGGAAGTAAGTAATAATTTATTCAGTACTTCATAATAAGCCTAGCACCTACCTCTACAGAGTGGGCTGGTGCTTTGCAAATAAAACTTGAAATTTCTGAAAACTAACATATGTTTTTGTATAGCTTTTATGGAGCCCTGGCACCACGGGTGTTCTACATAAATTAGGGATGTATGCTGTACATTCCAAGTTTAGCAATGCAAATTCCCTTCTGCAGAAAATTAAATAAACAGACTTTAATGTTGGTATTGAAACAAGGGCGAAACAGCAGTTTTTTTGAAACCCGGCAGTCTGCCTGCTGGTCATTATTTGTCATTCTTTTCCCAACAAGTGCTTCTGAAGAAATAGCACTCAAAAGCCAGAGGTAGATAATCTTTAAGACTTAGATAATTTGCCCTGACAGGTGTGGCACCGTGGGTTGAGCGCCCGCTGAAGGTCGCTGGTTCGATTCCCAGTCAGGGCACACGCCTAGGTTGTGGGCCAGGTCCCCGGCTGGGAGCGTGGGAGAGGCAACCGCACATGGCTGTCTCTCTCCCTTTCTCCCTCCGTTCCCTCTTTCTCTAGAAATGAATACATAAAATCTTTTTTAAAAAAGACATATAATTTCGGCAACTGTAAACTTATGGTTCACATAACCCACTGCCACAGAAATAATGATATATATGAACAAATGTAAAGAAATTAACGACCCATTTTTGCATATTAATAGTATTATTGCTTGGACGACTTTTTAAGCATAAAAATTGTATACATCACTTATTCCCAGAGTAATTTGCCTGAATGTTATTTCTACATTGATTTGCATGAAATTTTCATATTAAAAGTTAGGAAAATTCACTTTTAGAAAGTCTTTTCCTAATAAAAACAATGAAGCTCTTTTAAGTAATAAAATACAGAGCATTTAATCTTTGCGGACTTCTCTGGGACGAGCAGCCGCCGGACCTGGGGCCCGGGCCGCGGGCTTAGCCAGCTTCCCGGGCTCCGCGTCAGACGCGCAGGGTGCAGGTGGCTGCGCCAGGCGCGGGAGGAGGCGCCCGAGGACTCGGCCGGGGCAGCAGAGGAGCCGCAGCTGCTGCCGGGTGGCGGCAGCTGTAAGCGGTTCAGTGTGTTCACGGGGTTCAGCTCCCGGTCCGTGACCGCCCTCGCCCGGATCGCGCTCGACCCACCGGTGGATGTCTTCGTGCACCAGGGTAAGCTGCACATTGAGCCCTTCTGGAACCTGGAGGAGGGTGGGCCAGTGGAGTTCACCTTTAAGAAGTCGGCCTGAGGCCTGGAATCTCTCCGGGTCCCGGCCCTGGTGGGGTGTCCTATATTGGGAGGGAGGAGCGGCCAGAAGGGGAGAACCTGTGGAAGCGCAGATCAGAGGGAGATAGGTGCTGGACTGTGGAGGTCATACCAAAGAATGCAAGCTGCCACCCCAGCCTGAGAAGTGCCACTTCTGCCAGAGCACCAGGCATATGGTGGCCTCGTGCGCACTGAAGGCCCAGCAGGCCCCCAACTCAGTAGGTAGGGAAAGCCAGCCTACTCTTGGCCCTCAGAGGCCCAGCATTGAGCCACGGTGGGTGGGGGCTATCCTTTTGCAATCTGGAAGTTTCTAGGAGCAGGCACCAGTCAGCAGGATGGAGAAAGTGGGAACAGCTGACACTGCCATGTGTTCAGGCCGGGTTCCACATCATCACCCGCTCTTACCTCTTGTCGGGGGATGAGGGGGCGGGTTGGGGTCAGGCAAAAGAACCCCAACCACACTCTATCCAAATGCCTGTGAGGACTTTGCGGGAATCCCTCCCTGCACGCTTTATTTGAGTCTCCGCCCCCAGAAGCTCCAGCTTTCGAAAGTGACCTGGATAAGGAAGTTGTTTTCCTTTTAAAGAAGGATTTGTAATAGTATTTCCAGAGTGAAAGGATTAGCATGAGACCAGATTGATGGACCCAACCCACAAATGACTACATCACGTGGGAGGGAATCTCTCCGATACGGCAGAGTTTTTCCACACTTTGTCTCCTTATTACCCACTCTTGGGGTAGGGCGCTGAGAGCTGTCCCGAGCAGTGGGTTGTGACTCTACACAAAAGGAACGGTCGGGGAACAGCTGCATATGTGCAGCCCCTCAACTCAGTCCCATCCCATTTCTGCGCCAATACAATTTTATTTATTTGGTCCCTTGGATAACTGCACCTTGGTCCCACCTTCTCCAGGACGCTAAGTACTGTGTGCAGGTGACATATCTTGTGCATTTTAATTTTATTCATAAGTATTCTGCTTTTGTATTTTTGTGTATTTTAATCTAAAGCCCTCATTTGTGCACCTTGTTCTCAGTGTACATCCAGTACATGAGCAATCTCAGAGGTAAGTGGGCAGCAGCTCTGGGTCTGCATGGCAGGGATCCTTTTCATGTTGTTTTATCATCAGGGAGAACTATTTTGAGCTTATAGCCTATTGAACTACCTCATTTTTGCCAATCAGAGCTGGTTTTTCTGCCAATGTCCTCTTGAAACCCCTCCACTTTCGATATTTTTGTGGAAGACTAGATTTTTTTAGCTTCAATTTTTATTTTATTTTATCCTCACCTGAGAATATGCTTATTGATTTTTTTAGAGAGAAGGGAAGGAAAGAAGAGAGGGAGAGAAGCATCAATGTGAGAGAGAAACATCAATTGGTTGCCTTTTATACACATCGCTGGGGACTGAACCTGCAACCTAGGTGTATGCCCTGACCAGGAATCAAACCTGCGACCTTTTAGTTTGTGGGAGGATGCCCAACACACAGGCCAGGGCCGGGAGACTAGATTTTAACTCTTTGGTCCCGTTACTTGATCTTCTTACACTGGAAGATTGGTAATTGGTCTGAACATGAATGGTTGGTTGGTGCAAAGGTTGGGAGAGGCTGGCTAGGGGAAGGATGCAGAGGGGAAGCCAAGTTTGGGGAAGGGTTGTATATACATATGTAACTAAGGATTCTTGGTCAGACCTCTAATCTCAGGGTTTGGGACTCATATTACATACCAGATCCATGCCACACTGGATTGGTCTAGGCCTACCATGCACAACAAGGTATATGTGTGCTTGTTTGTAAAAAATATGAGTCGGTAAAAATAGGTTTTAAGAACAATGCCTCTCTATCCATCTTGACCTGCCCAGGAATGGATATATGAAGCGATGATTAAATTCCTTAACCTTTAAAAAGTTTTTTAAAATAATTGCCGTCTTTTTTAAATCCTCACCCAAGGATATGTTTATTGAATTATTTATTTTTTAAGTATATTTTATTGATTATGCTATTACAGGTGTTCCAATTCTTCTCTCCTTTGTTCCCCTATACCCCCAATACCCTCCCCCCCCCCAGTTTCCCCCTTCCCTCCATCAATCCCCCCACTTAGTTCATGTCCATGGGTTGTGCATATAAGTTCTTTGGATTCTTCATTTCCTATACTATTCTTAACATTCTCTTTTTTATTTTGTACCTACCAATTATGCTTCTTTTTTTTTGTTTGTTTTTTTTTAAGATTTTATTTGTTTTTAGAGAGGGGAAGGGAGGGAGAAAGAGAAGGAAACATCAATGTGTGGTTGCCTCTCACTTGCCCCCTACTGGGGGCCTGGCCTGCAAGCCAGGCATGTGCCCTGACTAGGGATTTAACCACTGAGCCTTTGGTTCAGAGGCCAGCACTCAATCCACTGAGCCACGCTAGTCAGGGCCCAGTTACACTTCTTAATCCCTGTACCTTTTCTCCTCATTTTCCTCTTCCTCCTTCTGCTGGTAACCTTTCATGTGATCTCCAGTACTATGATTCCGTTCCTATTCTAGTTGTTTGCTTAATTTGTTTTTGTTTTTTTAGATTCAGTTGTTGATAGTTGTGAGTTCATTGTCATTTTACTGTTCACAGTTTTGATATTATTTTTCTTAAATGAATCTCTTTAATGTTTTATATCATATGGGCTTGGTGATGATGAACTCCTTTAGATTTGCCTTGTCTGGGGAGCACTTTTTCTGCCCTTCCATTCTAAATGATAGCTTTGCTGGATAGAGTAATCTATAGGTTGTAGGTCCTTGCTTTTCATCACTTTGAATACTTCTTGCCAGTCCTTTTTTGCCTGCAAAGTTTCTCATGAGAAATCAGCTGATAGTCTTATGGGAATTCCTTTGTAGGTAACTCTCCACTTTTGCTGCTTTTAAGATTCTCTGTTTATCTTTAAACTTTGGCATTTTAACTATGATGTGTCTTGGTGTGTCTCTCTTTGGGTCCAACTTGTTTGGGATTCTCTGTGCTCCCTGGACTTGTGTGTCTATTTCCTTTGCCAAATTAGGGAAATTTTCTTTCATTATTTTTTTCAACTAAGTTTTCAATTTCGTGCTATTCCTCTTCTCCTTTTGGCATCTCTGTGATTTGGATGTTGGCACTTTTGGAGATGTCCCAGAATCTTCTTATACTCTCCTTGTTTTTTTGAATTCTTGTTCCTTCATTCTGTTCTGGTTGACTGTTTATTTCTTCCTTGTGCTCCAAATCATTGATTTTGAACCCTGGCTCCCTTCCCTTCACTCTTGGTGCCCTGTGGATTTTTCTTTATTTCACTTAGTGTAGCCTTCATTTCTTCCCTTATGTGTTTGCCATACTCAATGAGTTCTCTGAGCATCCTTATCACCAGTGTTTTGAACTCTGCATTTGATAGGTTGGCTATGTACTTTTTGCTTAGTTCTTTTTCTGGAGTTTTGATATGTTCTTCCATTTGGGCCATATTTCTTTGTCCCCCCCAATTTGGTAGACTCCCTATGTTTGTTTCTGTGTGTTAGGTAGAGCTGCTTTGACTCCCTGCCTTGGCGCAGCTGAGACATTGTAAGGAGCAGAGCCTTAAGTATTCGCTAGGGTGGAGCGATGGCTTTGCCTCTTTGTGGTGCTATGTGGAGGAGGAGTTGGAGAGGGAACAATGCCACTTGCTTGGCTCTCACACCATTTCCAGTCACTTTCCCCACTTCCCATATGCCATTGGCACCCACCCTTCTAGCTGCTGTTCTGGTGCTGAATACCAGAGTGGGTGGGTTTGGGTACATTCTAGGACTGTGTGGGTCCTTTAATAGGACTCTCCTGAGAGACAGATAGTTTCTTCTGCTACCCTCACCCACAATGGTTTTTACAGCCAGAAGTTGTGAGGTTTTGTCTTCCCAGCACCGGAACTGTGGTGTGCACGGTCTGGCCTGGGGCCACTTGCTCCCCAGGTGTCTGTTCTGCTGGCTGCCACTGCTACTGCCACCACCTCGCCACCACTGCCACCTCACTACTGCTGACTCGCTGCTACCACACTGTCTCTCTCTGCTCCAGCTCCCCATCTCTGCCCCGCCTACCCATCTGAATGAATATTTCTCCTTTAAATCCTTGGTTGTCAAACTTCCATACAGTTCAATTTTATAGCACTTCTGGTTATTTTTTGTTTTGAGGTTAGTTGTGATCCTCTTTATGGTTGTACAAGGAGGCAAAGTATGTCTGCCTACATCTCCATCTTGGCCAGAAGTCTGTGTATTGAATTTTTTAGAAAGAGAGAGAGAGAGAGAGAGAAAGAGAGAGAGATCCATTGATGTGAGAGGGAAACATTGACTGGTTGCCTCCTGTATGTTCCCCAGCTGGGATCAAACCCGCAACCTAGGTATGTGCCCTGACTGGGGATGGCAGCCACAGCCTTTTGATATATGGGACAAAGCTCTAACCAACTGAATCACCTGGCTATAGCATTAACTTTTAAAAATGGTTCGCTTTTCCTCCTTGGCTTCCATAGAGACCGTAAGTGATGGCTTCTTTGTGGTACCCAGAGACAGTGTCCTTCCCTGCTGCAGCAGTGATTAGTGTCATAGCAGCTAAAAGAGAAAAGCAGGCTTCATTTATATGCTGCGAGATCACTGAAAACCTAACTCACTGTTGAAGCAAATGCAATAGAATGTATTGGGTGATCCTAGGTTCTTGTCTTCCCCAATTGCTGACCTCTCTAGTTATTGTATTTGTCTGGGCTTTGCAGGACTTCACAGTAGCTGATTTGGTGATTGCTAGGTGGCCTAGTTTGTGTAAATGTGTTGATCTTTCTCCATGTTCTTTAGAGGTTTTATTGTTTACAAACTTTTTTGTATTGAGAAAAATAGTCAAAGCATCTTTGACAAAATGTTCTGTACCAGGCAAAAAGGATCTGAAACATAAGCTTGAGGACCCCTC